ATTGCTTTATAATACTTTGTGGTGTAGCAGCGTCCTAAGTTTTTTTTGTCGTTTTTTTAATAAATATCTTTTTATTTTGATTAATTTTTATTTTTATTTTTTATTTTTAATTAAAATTTTTATTTTTTAAATACATTAAAAAATTTTTTAATTTTATAGAATTTTATAGAAGAGTTTTATAGAAATAGTGTACAACTTTTTTTATAGTTCTTTAGTCCCACTTGGTGCCATTTCCTGATATCATATTTTTTTGTAGAAAGTATATATAATAGCTTTTTTGAAAATTTTAATATATACAAGTTTTTTTTGAAAGGTTTTAATATATCTCTTGATAATATATATGACAGGTTTTTTTGAAAGGTTTAATATATATGACAATTTTTTTGAAAGATAAAACAATACGGTTTTGTTTTAGTTGTGTACACTTTGACTATGAAAATATGGACTGCTAAAGCCTTGACTTGGTATCCAAGATCCGTGGTGACACCGTGTGGCAACGGACCCGAGAATAAATAATCCATACAATAGTGTGCATGTCAAAGGTGCGTGGTATTTAGTACATGATATCGGCTTGAATCTTTGACAATAATTTAAATATATAGAAATGGTGTTATATTGTTTTGTGGAAGGCTGCGAATCGAGGAAATATAAAAAAGGAGAAATAAATTACTCCAGCCTGCAGTTTTACAGGTCTAATCCTTGCATCCTTCTTACGTACTTTAAATTTCCCACAATTTGCCACACGGGGTGAGGCCAAAATCTCGAAAAATATCAAATGATGTTGGATACATATCCTTATACATGGGTTAGATAGGAAAAGTGGGGATAACTAGCAGTCCATATTTTTATAGTCAAAGCTTAAGCCAGCGGCACACGGTACGTTTTTGCTTACTGGATTGATTGCGAGCTAGTAAATTACTAAAAATACTGTATGCTGTATGGTGCATTTCTAGTATTTTACTAGCTCGCAATCAATCCAGTAAGCAAAAACGTACTGTATACAGCTGGTTTTATACACGCTTACGTTACGATTTTCTCTGTGCGTTGAATAAAGTTTAAGGGTCGACAGGAGTGAAACTAGCACCTCTGTAGGAATAGAAGTAAAGCTCGAAATCGTAATAAACAAACTTCGGTCATAATTACGGAAAAAAACTCATAGCAATTATAATAGGAGTAGACCTGTGGGCTTATTTAGGGATTACCCTACCACCACCGCCATTACCGGAATTCGCGCCCTCCGATAACATCGGCGCAATATCAGACGGCCTGACACCACGCACCGACGCATAGTGGTGCGGAGGTGGAAAAAACCCAAAATATTGAAAATAATGTTTTTATGTATCGATTGCTATTTTTGGGATACTTAATGACTAGTAATATCTTATCATATAAACAAGAATACATTTTATTTATTTAATTTAAGAGAAAAAACCTCAAGTCATAGATAGATTATACTCTATATTACCGAAATTATCACCGAAATTTCAATGTTTTATTTTTTATTTATGAGGATATTTATAATTATGTACCCGGTAAAAAATTTCTCATATATAATCATATAGCATTTAATAGAGTTATACAATATTTTACATAATTTGTGTAAAAATATGTATAATTATACATGACAAAAAATAAACGTTATATATATATATATATATATATATATATATATATATATATATATATAGTAGAG